GGTGTTTTTTCAATGTATGCTTCAGACACGGGTCATGACGAGGCGTTCCCCATAGCGACCCCTAGAGGACGCAGTGTCCCGTTCCCTACTCAGGGAACCATGGTTACATAAGTAACCTGAGACGTTCTGTCACATTGTGCGGTTTAATCAGGTAGTGCCATTTCATCACATGGCTTTTGGTGATTGTTTCCAATGTGCTCCAGTAAAGCCAAGGTGATTAAAAGATACCTGGCTGTAACTCTAGTTTAAACAAGTACAAAGACATTGCATTGCTCATAACTGGACACTGGTGCTTCCATTGGCCAATAAATCTAGGCCTACTTTTCCTGTCTTCCACAACAAATCAAGGGCCCCCTCATTGCTCGGGCCCTTGAGCTTAAGCCCCGCCTAGCCTGCCCTGTTAATCCTGCCTTGGGAAGACATAATTATTAATATTTTAGTTTAAAGTGTTTCTTTAGCTGGAATTTTTTACCAATAGTTGCTTTTTATTCATTAAGATCAGTGTGACAATGTTAATACCTTTCCTTAAATAATAAAAAAAAACATGAAATATCAAGCGTAGCATTAGTTCTGGCAGGTCACGTTAGTCAAGCTCGCATCAGCTGACCTTCAGCTGATCCCCATCTACCTATGGGAATACGACACCTATCTAAGCATTCATATATAAGGTCCCTCAGTATTATCAGCAGTTTTTGCATTGCTCAATAGCCAATTACCCTCCTCCATCCCCAACTCCTCCTCTGTCAGTCGGGATTCAGCCTTCTGATTCTCCTTGAATCAGACTAATTCTAAAATGTGTACATAAAATGATTGAACTTTAACAATATCTGCAATACATTTATGTTAGTTCTGTTCTGTTTACCCTGGGGGGTTATTGCTGCTCTCCCTGCTCTCATCCATGCTAGGCTGCATGGAGGCGCAGGGAGTTCTTGCCCAGAACGGAACCATACCGCCAATCCAAACTGTATGCTAATTGTCAATCATCTTTGACGATAGTGGTCCTGACAAAAATAATACATATTAAAAACAAATCATTTATAAACCGCTAATTTTTGATGTACTACAGTCTAACATTAAGTCCTCCCTTACAGAAAAAAAACACATGAATTTCATGTTTTCCTCATGTGACATGTGACCACAAGTTTTCAGCTGTGGCTTTCGGTTTTGAAAATAAACAAAAACAACTGTAAGTCAACCTGGTTTTGACTATACCAACCAGCAATATAACTTACACTCACAATGTTTAGATATGTTGATTAGTTTAGTGAAAAGATTGTTGCTAATAAATAGTTAGGTTACACTTTATTTTGATAGTCCACTTTAGACATTCTACTAACTATAAGTAACTTTATAACTACATGCCTACTAATTATCATTAATTTGCAACTATATGCCTACTAACTCTCAGAGTAGACTGTTAGGTTAGGATTAAGGTTAGTAGAATAAGTTGACATATACTTGCAAATTTTCTCATAGTCAGTATATTGTATGTTGTGGACCCATCAAAATAAAGTGTTAGAAGACATTAAGCAGACAGTCTACTAATACTCTAATGACTGCTAGTTGACATATAGTTGCAAAGTTACTTACTGTTAGTAGAATGTCTAAAGTGGACTATCAAAATAAAGTGTTACAAATACAATACAATACAAATAAAATAAAAGGTGCTTAAAATGTATTTACTTGTTTTAATAATTATGTTTTTCTAATTTAACAATTTAACAATAATTTAACACAATTAATGAAGTAAGTATGCATGTATGTACATGAGATGTACATACAGCATTTGGCAATTATCTGCCATTCTTCTCCTCACCTCTTCACCTCTCAAGCTCTGTCAGGTTGGATGGGGGCAGACACACATTTTCAGGTTTCTCCAGAAATATTTGATTGGGTTCAAGCCCAGGCTGTGGCTGGGCCACTCAAGGACATTCACACAGTTGTCTATAAGCCACTCTTGCTGTGTGCTTAGGGTCATTGTCCTGTTGGAAGGTGAACCTTCTGCCCAGTCTGAGGTTCTGAATGCTCTGAACTAGGTTTTCATTAAGGCTATCTCTATATTTTGCTGCACTGAGCATTCCTTCTACTCTGATGTGTCCCTTAGTCCCTGCCGCTGAAAAACAGCCCCACAGCATGAGGCTGCTACCAGCACACTTTATGGAAACATTTTTGGAATGTTACTCTGCAGCTGATGAGCGGAGCTGGTTTCCTTCAAACATGATGCTTAGACTTGAGGTTCATCAGACCAGAGAATCTTGTTTCTCACAATCTGAGGGTCCTTTAGGTGCTTTTTTTGTAAATTCCAAGTCTGTTTTCATGTGTCTTAACTTAAGAAAGGATTGAGTCTTGACACACCACCATAAAGCCCAGATCGGTGGAGTGTTGCAGTGATGTTTGTCCTTCTGTAGATTTCTCCTATCTCCACATATGATCATGGAGCTCAACTAGAGTGGCCATCAGGTTCAAGGTCACCACACTAACCAAAGTCCTTATCCATCAATTGCTCGGTTTGACCAGGAGGCCAGCTCTAGGAAGAGTCCTGGTGGTTTCAAACTTCTTCCATTAAGGGTAACAGAGACTACATGCTTTTTTTGCTCTGATATGCATTATCAGCTGTTAGACCTTTTATTAAGACGTGTGTGCCTTTCCAAATCATACCCATTCAACTGAATTTGCCACAGGTTAACTTCACTATAAGTGTAGTAACATCTACAAGCAATATGAATGCTCCTGAGCTAAATTTCAACTGTCCCAGATAAGGGTATGAATACTTATGCAATGGAATCATTTTAGTTTTTCTATTTTTAATAAATTTGCAAAGATGTTAAAAACCTATTTTTTGCTGTACAATTATGGTGTATGGAGTGCAGATTGATGTGGAAAAAAAGTAATTTAAAGCAGTTTAACATACATGTAAATATTTTCAAAATATATACTGTATGTGTGTGTATTTGTATATACATAATAAATATACACAGAACACGCACATATATTATGCAAAAAAAAACTTTTATTTTGGATGTGATTAATCGTGATTAATCGCTTGACAGCACCTGGACCACAAAACCAGTCATAGGTAGCACGGGTCAAAATTATCGATTTTTCTTTTATGCCAAAAAATATTTAGAATATTAAGTAAAGATCATGTTCCGTGAAGATATTTTGTCATTTTCCTACCGTAAATATATCAAAACTTCATTTTTTTTTTATAATATGCATTGCTAAGAACTTTATTTGGACAACTTTAAATGCAATTTTCTCAATATTTAGATTTTTTTTTTTTTGCACCCTCAGATT